GAGTGTTTAGGGGTGTTTGGGCTCCTTGGGACTTAGCTTGGACCTTAGACCCGTAACCCTTTGGGATTCCCTTATATTCCTATTATAGGTACCTAAGGGTTAACCCTTAGTAGGGGTCCTCACCCAAACCCATGATTAATAAACCCTGTCCCCTTAATAGGGATTATACTAGGGATCCTTATATTAAGGCCCTCAAAAGGAGGTGGTTTATTAATCAGGGGTCTGCAATAAGTGTCATGTAGTGGGAAGGGGAAACCCATGATTTGGTCAGGCTCAGGCAGCGCAGCAGCAGGCAGAGACTGAGAAGGCGGCTGTGCAGGCGTGCGGTTAGTATGGGAGACATAGGGTTTACCGTTTAGGGTGTAGAGATATTGGGATTTCACTGGGTAGTACTGGGATTGCAAAGGGCATAATAGGGAAAATATGGGAGAAACAGACTGGGGGATGTTGGGATTCCATTTCTTGTCTCTTTGGGGTTTATATTTATCTCACACTTTTACCATATCATAGCCTTGAGTCTTATAGGCCGAGGGATTGCAGCTATAGGGTAACATGTGGATTGTGAGCGGTATAGGGATATCATTCGACTGATCGACTTGAAGGTTCAGGCATTTATAACTGCATTAACTGCCACTTCAGGGGACGTAGGAGGCTCATATTTGGGCTTAAAGAGGTACAGTTACAGTTTTCATTGGGTTACAACTGCCCTGAACCTTCAAGTAGGATAGCTATGGGGCACAGCACGTCAGGGGATCGCATGGAACATAAGTGGGTAACTTCTCTGTGTATGGCTTTTGGGTCAGAAGGTAAAACGTCGGGATGATTGCTGAAGCGGAAGGGTTGTCAGGACATGTTACTGAAAATGAAGCCTATGTGATCCTCAGCTGGCTGACAGCCTCCTTTACAATTCAACATCTCTGGACCATCCAACTCCCTGTTATTATGGCCTAATAATACGAACCCGATCTTGGGTGCTAGGAGGGTTTTGCTCGTTTTTAATCCCTTACAGCCTTAAGGTATCCATGTTCTACAGCACACACCGACAGCCTGCCTGTTCCCTCCTTGTCAGGATTGCGCTCTCCCTTCAGCACACATAGAAGCGTGTAGCGGGCCCTGTTTCGGAATGGGCAGTAGTCCGCAAAGGGCTCTTGAGGGGTTCACCCGGGTTAAAGCTTAGGAGGTTATAGCTGAGTTACCACGATGAAGAAGCCATATCATCTACCACACATCTTCAGGACAGCAGCTTAGTTAAATTTCTTAGTACCCGGTACAGCTCCTTTATTATAAGCTCAGTCCATTTGATTCTTCATTATGGTAACCTTGAACCCTAACTCCGAACCCCTTTAGGTAGGTTCTTCACGAACAACCCAGTTTATGGTTCCAGGCAGCGGAGCAGAAGGCTGCTAAGGAGAAGAAGCTTGCCGACGCGGCGCAGTCGAAGGTCGGCTAATACAGGGCCTGAATTAGCACCAATGTTATGGTCCGAGATTCCTTTTGAGAACATGGTGAAGGGTACCTCAAATAGACCTCAACATCATGCTGGGGCAAGCTTCCTTGCCTTGTGTTCATAGCTGGTGAAGGAATATGGTATGGGTCATCTTGGGCGTACGCGGAACATTCAAATACATACCCCAAAAATGTACAGGAGAGACTCCAGGGATCTATGCCCTAATTTATTTCCTACCAACCAAGGCAGCAGGTCTTGAATAGACAGGCAAGGTTAGGGGACATGATTGTGCTGCCACGATGCTATACCCCTAGTTCCTGTGAGGTTCATACATGATTCTGTGGGGTAGTGCAAGTTTCGTGCGTTCAACGGAATGATGCCTGGAAAAAGTGTGGATCTCAGCAGAATGGGTGGGCAGGCGATGCGTTAACATGATCCCTAAAGTAATAACCCTAAGAATACTTCTAAGCTCCTTAAGTGAGGTTATATAGGGGATTACGTAATACTTCCCCATATAATCCCCTACATAACCCCCTCAAGGAGCTTAGACAATAGATTTTCTCCTCGGAGCTGCTTCTTTCATTTGACTGAGAAGGTTGGCGAGGTACGGACAGGCATTGGAACTCAGGAACGGTTTATTGCCATCCTTGGCCACCTTCCGTTTCCGTGGCCAGTCCGGGATTCATGTGCTGCGTCTCGCTGCATACGCCAGGCCAGCGCTGCCAGGCAGGAAGCGGAGAAGGAGTATGCGGCTGTGCAGGCGGCCCAGCAGCAGGCAGCCAGCGAGAAAAAGGCCGCAGAACAAGCGCAGTCGGAGGCCCGAGCGACATCACAAGCCTGCTCTAATCGTGGATATCTCTTTCAAGAAAAAGCTGAGTTGCAACCTTTGGACGGATGTAGGGCATGTGATGGCACATCATGTACAGATGCCATCGTGTGCGCGGGCTGTAACAGGGATCTGAGATGATGAAAGTAGCTGTTGTACCTGTGCTAGGCGACGACTGCACAGCAAAAGGCAAAGCAGGAGGAAGCCGCAGCGCAGCAGGCGCAACGGGAGACGCAGGCAGCCCGCAATGCCACGCGGTCGGCTGAGCAGCAGCTGCAGACCGAGAAGAAGAGCGCGGAGTAAGCAGCGTCGCAGGCCGTGGGCAGACACGATTGCATTGTAGGGTGGGAGATATTTTTTTTGTGGGAGATGCCGAGTGGCACGTTGCCTGCCAACTGAGTGCAGGTGTGTCGAGGGGTTCATTGTTTGCTTTCAGCGCAGGGAAGCAATGACGCAAACTAGCCGAGTAATTCAAGTGTGTTTCGCATGGTTTTTGGGTGCAGCTTGTGACGGCCCGCAGCTACAGCTAGTCGTTGTTGGAGGGCGGTTGGAGGTTTGCGCTTTCAGAAGATTGGCTCCTGCAAGGTTCTAGGCTCATCGGCAGCGTTTTTGATGCTTGTGAGGGGGATGGGAAGGAGTTGCTGTCCAGGGGGCAGCTGGCTGGCTTATTAATCCTGTATGGATACACCTACATGCTTTTGAAACAGAAATCACAGCTTCGGAGTGTCCCTTCACTGTCAAACTTCCAGGACAGCGCACGTGGCTGACATGTGTGGCGTGTCGCAGCAGCGTGTGGCAGTGCCAACAGCTAAAACAATGACATCCTCGGAAGGTTGACTGCTTGTGCCAGGCCAGCGCCGCCAAGGAGGAAGCGCAGAAGGAGTATGCGGCTGTGCAGACGGCCCAGAAGCAAGCAGCCAGCGAGAAGAAGACCGCAGAGGAAGCGCAGTCGGAGGCCCGAGCGGCATCATGAGACGGCTGGAGTTGTGATAGTCTGCTGGGATTGCTGAGTTGCAACTTTGGCCGGGTGTCGGGCATGTGGGTGTGCAGATGTGTGCGCGGGCTGTAACAGGGATCTGAGATGATAGTAGCTGTTGTACCTGTGCTAGGCGACGGCTGCACAGCAAAAGGCAAAGCAGGAGGAAGCCGTAGCGCAGCAGGCGCAACGGGAGACGCAGGCAGCCCGCAATGCCACGCGGTCGGCTGAGCAGCAGCTGCAGACCGAGAAGAAGAACGCGGAGCAAGCAGCGTCGCAGGCCGTGGGCGGACACGTTTGCATTGTAGGCTGGGAGATATATTTCTTGATTTTTTGTTGGAGATGCCGAGTGGCACGTTGCTTGCCAACTGAGTGCACGCAGGTATGTCTAAGAGTTCATTGTTTGCTGTTCAGTGCAGGGAAGCAATGGCGCAAACGAGCCGAGTGTTTCAAGGTGTGTTTCGCATGGTTTTAGGGTGCAGCTCGGGACGGCCTGCAGCTAGTCGTTGTTGGAGGGCGGTTGGAGGTTTGCGCTTTCAGAAGATTGGCTCCTGCAAGGTTCTAGGCTCATCGGCAGCGTTTTTGATGCTTGTGAGGGGGATGGGAAGGAGTTGCTGTCCAGGGGGCAGCTGGCTGGCTTATTACTCGTGTATGGATCCACCTAGATGCTTTTGAAACAGAAATCACAGCTTCGGAGTGTCCCTTCACTGTCAAACTTCCAGGACACTGCACGTGGCTGACATGTGTGACATGTCGCAGCAGCGTGGCAGTGCCAACAGCTAAAACAATGACATCCTCGGAAGGTTGACTGCTTGTGCCAGGCCAGCGCCGCCAAGGAGGAAGCGCAGAAGGAGTATGCGGCTGTGCAGACGGCCCAGAAGCAAGCAGCCAGCGAGAAGAAGACCGCAGAGGAAGCGCAGTCGGAGGCCCGAGCAGCATCATGGGACGGCTGGAGTTGTGATAGTCTGCCGGGATTGCTGAGTTGCAACTTTGGCCGGGTGTCGGGCATGTAGGGTGTGCAGATGTGTGCGCGGGCTGTAACAGGGATCTGAGATGATGAAAGTAGCTGTTGTACCTGTGCTAGGTAACGGCTGCAGAACAAAAGGCAAAGCAGGAGGAAGCTGCAGCGCAGCAGGCGCAACAGGAGACGCAGGCAGCCCGCAAGGCCACGCAGTCGGCTGAGCAGCAGCTGCAGACCGAGAAGAAGAACGAAGAGCAAGTAGCGTCGCAGGCCGTCGGCGGACACGTTTGCAATGTGGGGTGCAAGCCAAATCTTTGGGAGATGTTGCGGCGGGTATATTACTGCGCTGTGGAATTCATGTTTTCTTCACTTCGATCTGCCCTGGCAGAGCTAGCGCGTCGGTGGAGCTTCTTGCGAATACTTCATTCCTCCACATGGAAAAGGACTTAGAACAAAGTTGTGGTCTTTCAGGTGTGTTCAGGGGCAGCGCAAGGCGCCCGAGACGAACTGCAACAGGTCAGGGGATAGAGTTCCCGGGAATTCAGCTTTTCAGGGGAATGAGTCCTAAGAGCCCCTGGGCTTGACTCTGCCCATTTAGGAGTAGTGGTTGTTTTGTTATGGAGGAGACGTTGTGCAATGCCCAGCCGGCTGGCCCCAAGGCTTAAGAGTGTTTGGGTCTGTTACTGCTTGGCTGCCTTTTACCTAAAGAGCACCAACAGCTCCATAGTCGGTTGTCCTATTGGTGATCTTACTGAATGTCAAGCCTCTAGGGCAGTGCGCGCAGTGGCAGGCCAGCGATGCCAAGGAGGAAGCGCAGAAGGAGTATGCGGCTGTGCAGGCGGCCCAGAAGCAAGCAGCCAGCGAGAAGAAGACCTCGGAGCAAGCGCAGTCGCAGGCCCGAACAACATCATGAGACTGCTGGAGTCTGGGGACCTGGGGCCCTGCGGCCCGGAATCTGAGTTGCAACCTTTGGCCGAATGTGGGCCGCACGATGGCACATCGTGTACAGATGCCAATGTGTTCGCAGGATTTAACAGGGATCTGAGTTGATGAAGGTAGCTGTTGCACCTGTGCTAGGTGACGGCTGCAGAGCAAAAGGCAAAGCAGGAGGAAGCCGCAGCGCAGCAGGCGCAACAGGAGACGCAGGCAGCCCGCAAGGCCACGCAGTCGGCTGAGCAGCAGCTGCAGACCGAGAAGAAGAACGCGGAGCAAGCCGCGTCGCAGGCTCGCCACAAACAAGCAAAGCTTTGTCAACGCTGTGTTTGGAGTTAATGCCTGTCGGCCCCCAATGCGGCAGCCAGTCGCTACATCATACAGACCTGGCCAAATCTGATGCTCAAAAGGCACAAAAGTTGTTCCTCCATGTTCCTCCTCTGGACCTGCATTATTGGTAGGCACATCACTCCAAGAAACCCTCGCGCTGCCAGGCCCAGGGAGAGAAAGCTGCAGAGCAGACGGCAGAGCAGCAGGCTGCCAAGGAGAAGAAGACAGCAGGGCAGGCAGAAGCGGAGGCAGCTTGGGGCTTATTGGGGGGGTTCCCAAAATTAGGGGTACCTTTTTGGGTGTCCCTATAATAACTACAATATATTGGGGTCTTTATTGGGGTCCCTTTATTTAGGGAAACTACCATTGCGCTCTTGAAGGGTTGTTAGGGTTCAGGGGTTGTGGGGGGCCGTCAGAATTGATAGCGCTGCTGGGGATTGTATATGGGTTTGGGGTTTTGACTGGGCGTCTTGCCATAATGTTCAACGTTAAGGTCCTTTTGGTTTGAAGGCGTTTTCGGCTTGGACAACAAGCCTACAGAAATGCCAGCCAGAGCGCGAATGTGCGCAGAGTCCCCTGTGAAGATCGTGCATGATATGATTTAGACCAAGAGGCTCATACCAACTAATTGTATCCCAAGATTGTTGCAAAGTCACCCTCTCTCTAACGAATCCCGCTTCCCAATCACAATGTCGACAAGTATGTGTACATCCCTGAAACTTATGAATAGTGCGTGCATGGAGCCTTAGGGATTATGTTGAACTGTAGCAGTAGCCCGCTTTACATGAACTGATCGCATGCTAAACCTGGAGCCGTCCTAGTTTTCTCCGGAATGGCCCTGACCTGAACCCCGAAATTAGTTTGAGTAGTGGCCCTTTTGTGTGTATATGGCTGTCTGTGTGTTCAAGGGGTCTCTGGCCATGGGCTTGCCTACTCTTATGGCCCAGGGAAACCCTAAACTCCAAGGCCGCAGGCTTCAATTGTAAACAAGTTACACGAAGCCTGGTTCTCTGCTTGCGCGGCTCGGAGTTTTACTTCGTCTTCTGCAGTCTCACTTGGAAAACACGAGCATCGGGTTATCAACATGGCCCTTGTTTGCAAACGGTTGGTGCTATAGTTTGAGTGTTATCAAAATCAGTGTTGTCGTTGCTGCGTGCATCAGCAATCAAAGTAAAAGTTGTTGACAGGGTTCAGCTAGCTCAATCCAGCATACAGAGATCTGTTGGTTCACCTGCAGACGTCGTAGCAGCCTTTCCTCTTGTGAACCCAGTATTGGGGTTTAGAGCCCAAATCCTTACAATGGGCCCTTGAAATCGGATCCTTTAATTCTAGCCTATACAACCCCTTAACCCTGAAACCCTAAGCTCTAATCCCTAATCCCTAAAGCTTAAAACCCTCCATATCCACTTGCCGCCTTGCTGGAGCTGCCGTTCCGTGAAGCCCGGACAGGCTGCAGAAAAAGGTGAACAACAATTCATCCCAAGAATAGGTTTCGGTTTAGGACGTGTAGGGTCTTAGGGTTTAGGGTTTCCCCAAAACCTTCCCCCAAATAATTCCGACAACCTTTTCAGAAATCCAAATAGCCCAACGTAGGTAATATTTACGAACTTTAGGGTCCAATGTAGGTATTATTTGTATACTTGGAGAGCTTATCCTTGATAAGCCCTAGACCCCTGAACCCTAATCCCAACATTGTTCCCAATTGGGCTCCTGATGGCTCTTCGGCGAGGCAAGCGCTTTGCGTGGTGAGGTCAAGCAGGCGTGCCGGTCATGGGTGGTGCTTTTGTTGTTCATGTGGAGAAACATATGGAAAAGGACATGGAAAATTAGGTGGAAGCTCTTGTTTGCTTGCGGTCGAATAGCTCCACTGGAAAAGGGAATGGACAATGGGGTTTAGGGAATACATAGTATAAGTTTAAGGTTCTCCAATGATGGAGAATCAAGTGAACAACAACAGATACATGCAAACCGGGGTTTACATGGGTTTGCAGTGATATATATGCAGGGACATATGGAGTATAGGGTCTTCCCAATATTGTTTAACCACGGATTGTAAAACTGCGACATGGACAATGAAATCGATACAGGGCTTACATGATGGGGTCTTGCAGGGATGATGTGAAATTTGGGTGGCTGTCAAACTTCTGTCCCTTGAGAGACCCAATAATAATACGACTTTGGGTTTGGGGGTACTCAAAAGGAACATCACTGTGATTTGAAAGCATGCGTTTTTATTTTGTGGACTCAGGTCACAGGATGTAGTATGTGGTTGCCGGACTCTATCAAAGGTTTTTTTTTACTTGATTCTGTGCGAAATGTTGGGACATTCGGGTCGCGGCGTCATCGTCAGAATATGCAGGGCTTGTGGTAGTTTCCCAAGAGTAGGTTTTTGCCTGGGAACTGCATTCCTGCTCATCTCTCCGCATTCTGTTTGGCTACCCATCGAATACCAAACCGCAGCCATTGAGCTTTTGGTTTCCGTTTCTGTCTCACGCTTCAGAAGTGAAGGACCAAGACTCTCCAAGTGGATATAGAGCCCCGTGATCGGCCCTACAAAGGCTACAGTTTGGGTCCTCCCCCCCTCTAACAGTTGGATAATAATTACGATATGGTTATATATAGCCCTTAATAGGACCCCTAATATAGATTGTTACTGGGTGGGGGCAGTACCCAAGCTACAGTCTTTTCAACAACAAGGGCCTTTAGTGCATGGTTCCCGTGTTAGCTGTCGGAGGAGATCCTTGCTGGACCCCCCATCCCATGCCTGGCCTTTCTGAACCTTTAAACCCTAAACCCTAAACTCCTACTTAGACCGTAGACCTCACAGCATTTCACAGCAAACTGACTGCAACCTCTAAAGCCCCCGACCCCAGACCCACAACTCAATCCTAGAACCTAAGCCCTAAAACATAACCCCTAAGCACTAAACTCTAAAACCTAAACCCTAAACTCCTAAACCCATTAAACCCAAAGCCCTAAACTCTAAGCCCCAAACCCTAAGCCCTTAAAAGGGACCACCAGCTGGGTGCTTTGGAGGCCCAGGCCGCTGAGAGCGAGGAGAAGGCAGAGCTCGAGAAGTCGAAGAGCCAGGCCTTTGGGCTTTAGGGTTTAGGGTTTGGAATGGGGGGGTTTAGGGTTTAGGGTGCGGGGTTGAGGGTGTGGGGTTTAGGGTTTTGGGTATGGGGTTTGGGGTGTGGGGTTTAGGGTGTTGGGTTTAGGGTTTAGAGCGTCTTGCTGCGCGGCGGCTGGAGACCCGGGCGTGCGGGGGGGGGCGGCATTCTGGCGACGGCACATCTCTCGTGCCCAAAAAACCAAGAATTGGAGTGACGCCCTAAACTCGCACTTTTCTCTAAACTCTTGAATAAAACAAGGGCCTCTGACTCCGAGGGCTCCTGAGGGCCTCCGGACCTTCGAGCACCTCAAGAGGGCCTCTTCGCGTTGGGCCCCGTACTGCCTGGCAGACCCCTGGCAGGGCCCCCAAGTGCACCAGCAGAAGCCCGTCGCTAGGGTTATTCAGAATCTATCTGAATCACAGTAAAGGAGCAGGGGTCCCCTAGGCGGGGCAGGGTTTGCGGTTAGAGAACTATACTTGAGGACACGAGAATCCACAATACAAAGTGAGACCGCACATGCTCCATCTGGGTATGGTACCTTATGAGTTACGAGAAAAGCATAATCTTACTTCGTTCAGCCATGACCCAACACTACAGGATTAGGGCTTGGAGCTCAAGAGGATCTGATGTTTCAGGATTAAGGTTTGAGGTTGACGGGTTAGGGCCTCAGGTTTGAGGACTACGCTTAGGGGCTGGGGGTTTGAATTGGATTCGGTTTAGGGCTCATGTCGGGACTGAAGTTTAGGGATTACGGACCAAGGTTCAAGAATTCCAGATGTGGGTCATGCCTTAAACGGGCCTAGGGCTTACAGGCTTCAGGTCTCAGGGCTTCATCTGTTCCGGGCTTTAAGCCTAAGGGTTTAGGCGGCCTTAGGCATGAAGGGGTGATATGTTCATCACAGAGTGTTTTTTGGGCATTTGGCTTAGGGCATAGGATCTCAACTTGGGTCCAGAGTTTTTCAATTTCAGAGGCTTGGAGTTAAGGTTTCAGGCTTGAGGGCTCAGGGTTCCTTGGGGATTAGAGTTTAGGGTTCAGTGTCCAAGGTTCAGGGAGGGCTTCAGGGAAGAGCTTGGGCGGAGGCAAGGCTTTCGAATATGCTCGATACACCCCCTCAACCCACCGTATAGCGGTCGCCCAATACTCTGCTTATAGGAATGTTGTACACTTACCAAGTGTCGTACAAAGGACAGTGAAAGGGGTGTATCCGATGGGGAGAGTGTTTTCATTGAAAAAGGGTTCTCTGGTAACTCCTTCGGGCAGTTTTTCTCACACATGTGAGACACTGTTGATCATTGTGTTGCACCGGGTGCAATTTTGTAAGGCTAGCCATATTAAGTACCAACCTCAGGACGTTGTTTTGTGTTGTGGCTTGACGAGGCGTGGAGCCTGTGCTGATGAGGAATCACTTGAGACTCTTTGTCTACGACATGTCGATCATATCTTTGAGGGTTTAGGTTTCACGCATGCTGTGAAGGTTTGAGGATGATATTGGGACGTTTTGCGACAAGGGGCAGATTTTGCATTCTGCAGCATCCCCAAAATCAGTCCTGACCCAGTAGATGCTATTCGACATGCGAGAAACCCCCAAACCCCTAGAATGCGTGGTATTCCTTGACATCCCTCATTGCTCGAATGGCGCAGGCTTCGCAATCCGAGGCAGAGGTCCAGCAGTTGCGAAAGAACCTGCGCCAGGCCAGTGCAAGACGGGCTTTGTACCTGGAAGGTTGAAAGGAAGCCTCTAGGGAACACATACATTAATGGAAAAGAAAGTTGATGATGGGGTTTAGGGTTTAGAATTTAGTGTTTGGGTGTAGGGTTTTAGGGATAATAGATTA